GAAGGTGGGGTGGAAATGCACAAACCGGATGTCACCAGCATCATCATCACGTCGCGACTGCGGATGTTTAGTTTAGCGTTTACAAACAGGGCATGTGTGAGAGGGGTACAATAAAGGCAGGAGAACAATAAATATGAATAGAGAATAGGAAGTTATATGAAGAATGAGATCAAATTCACGATTGAAAACACTGCATCTCTGACGAGCCAATACGTCCCAGATTGCATGCTTCGTCTACTGACGGATTGATACTCGGACGAGCGGATCGTTTGATTCTTTGTTAATTGATGGCGCTGAGCACAAGTGGTCACTCAGCCCCAACCAGCACAGAGCTTCCGGTAAACCGGAAGGAGATGAGCTGAGAAAGAACGAAGAGAAGTGTAAGGAATATGCGCGTGCGTGCTCAAATAGTCCATCTCAAACCGGACTTGGTTTGGAACGTTTCGAGTTGGGCGTGCGCACTGTGAATGGTGTGTCGCCAAGCTTTCGTCCGATGCACAACCGCGGGCAAGCAATAGTCCATGCGTAGAGTAACAGGGCTAGCCAACTGGAGGCCAGTTTCATCCACATTGTGGCCCACGACTCAGACAGTGTTTCCACACGCGATATTTGCGGGCTGAAACGGGGATGGGACGGATATGCAAGTAATCGTGCTCGGGGGACACGTCGAAAACGAGGACATAAACTGGTATTTAGTGTTGATATGTGACCACACATCTAAGTTATACAACGAAAGTAGCCCGCTTCATCAGCACACGGCGAAATGCAGTGAGGTAAACTTGAATGATCATTGTCAAACACACAAAGAGTGTACAGGCGGTGAGAATATGTGAGGTGGACAGGGGGAAGTAGGTGAACCTATATGGTCCACGAACAGAGTACACGACCTAACTCTGCATACATACCGTTTCAAGCATTGTGGTCTGATAAGAAATGACAAGAAGAAGGATACCATATCCTACAGTGTATCCAACCAACCAGTTGCGGAGTCTTTCGGATCCAACACGGAAGGCTCAAAACACCCACTCTACTTAATAGCTCTGTCCATTTCTTCATACATCGCCTCCACATCATCTGTTAACCTCCATGTGCTTTCCGCCAGGCCAGAGCGACTATAGCGAACAAGATGCGGTGACATAGACAATAGCTGGGCGTAAACAATACGTGCCCCAGCCAGTGAAGCCTACTAACCTGAACTCGATGTCTATATTATACAGCTTCTTAGTAACCACTGGTAGTGCAAATTCACAAACCAACTACCATTCGAACATACACGCAAGTCCAGGCTAGCTCTCGACATCTTGCCACAGGTCAACATTACATGATGTAGCTATTCAGCGAGCATCAAAAGTCAGTGATATACTATTTCTCTGATGCAAGACTGCGTGCAACATTTCACCACTATAAAGCAAGAACTCGATTTGCTTAATCGGATTAGCAACCCTTCGCACCCGAGTTCGAATGCCAGCCAGTTCTGTCGATATGAACTGTTGATGATTCCGAACGTCCGAAGTGATGAAACAGCTGTGTGGTGGTTTTAAGGTTTTTCAGTGTTGAATGACAAGTGGACTCTGAATAACGGAAACCATTTTGCAAACAATACTAGTCAATTATCAATCACATTCGGCTGATGGATATTTGCACGAACTGTACAAAGTCAATTAACTGAGATTGGAATTTACACATGAAAATTGACATCATTTTCGTACGGCGTGGAATTCACCGGTCTACCTATGCAATCAAGCCGTTAACCGTGTGTGCTGTACCGAACTGGTTACCACACCTTGAACCCACATTGAAATCTGAGAATTTTAAGGATGAATGTCAGTTATTTACAGGAAGATTATTCACGATTCACAGAAGCTATTGATGCAGTAGATAAATCGAGATGGATTCAGACCAATAATCAAATGTGAAGCGGTTGAATTGTCGTTTGTAGACATCTGAACATGGATGATTGTGCGCGGTATTTTGCCAAATCCCACAGCTATGGAAGTCGCAATATCCCAACTCCCATCGATGTTCCTTGTCTAAGGCGTCCACATGAACGTATCAGCAAAAATACTTTGTTCACATCCACATGTGTTTAGTTCGAGCTCATGGTCGTTTCCTCACTTGTGTCTGTTAATATTCCATCTCAATAGCGTTGTTAAATGAGGCACCATTTTGAGGTGTTTAATAGCTGTTTCTGTCATCTGTTTTTCGTGAAGGAGTCTACTGGTCTTCCACCCGAGACAGCATAGCTCACAACAATAGATTTTAGCATTGCTGTGTTGTGTGGAAAACAGTACACGAATTTATGATGTAAGAATCATTAGTTTGTGTAAATGCATGCGTTTCATGCGCAAAATAAGAGAACGGATAATCTGTTTCGTATGATCCGGCCCCGGTCCAGCATGGAGTCGGAAATTACAGTCTGCTTACTTATTTGATTAGCAAGTAGTATGTGGTTAGCATACCTACCGTCAGGATAGCTACACGCTATTCGTGAATGATGTGAACCCAGTCTAGGCGGATTAGTGCATCGGATCACCAATTTATCGTGCCGGCTGGTGATTCTCGCGAATAAACACTAGCTGACTGGTAACTGAATCCCTTCGTTTCGAACTCATGATCGTTAATACGCACTTTTGTCCAAGACCAGAACAGACGCGTTCGTTCCATAGTTTAAGGATATGGAGATTTACTGTCGTCCGATTTACTACCGCGCTTATCCTAGTGGGACCGGGTTCAAGTCCCGGGGCTTAGATTGCCGATTTTCATCACTGTGAGCAGCAGACCTTCGCGAATATATGGTTCACCCCGTCTGTTGTTGATCACACAAGATGTGCATAACAGAAAACACGATACGACTATTGAATTTACAACCGAACAAATAGCTGTCTTAGCCAAAAACGATGCGAGAATACAAGTGAGAGAACTGCGAACGAATTCAAAACGTGCACGGCTTACTTGTACCAGTTAGTCAGTTGGGTCATCAAGTAGAGCGAGGATAGCGCGTAGATGAAGTGGAACCAGGGATAAGAATAGACCGAGGCAATTGCCTCATTGTAGATCACGTACCCGTCACGTGGGGCCTCCTCTTTCATCATCGGTCGCAAATAGGCTAAGGGGAGAGATAGACAGGAAGAGATAGAAAAAGAGACCAGGGTAAACGAGTGGCGGAGGAGCGCGGTTAAGATACCACCTTGTTCGCTATTCGAAGATTGTCCCTCGTTTATACATTGATGTTTATATCTTTGTTTAACAATTTCCTTCGCCTATTTATTTGCCTCATGTTTAGGATTACGAATCGCGTCCTCGCTCTACCATATCAGTTTGCCGATTAAATCGAAGAATCCAACCTATCGGTATGATAAATTCGGTGACTGCAAGCCAACATGGACTATCGCTGCTTGTTCACTCTTCTGGAACGTATTTTTCGGCTACAGATGCATGCAAAAAATGATTTTAAGTGGTCCGCTTAAGCAACGGTTTCGTCATGTGGTCGTGGATCCACGCAGAGTAAACAAAAAGGCAAAGTACCACAGTCAATTGTCCTGGTCTTTCGGCGATGCTTGATATACACCTAACGCGGTGCGATCATCGATTAGGAACATAAAGATATTCAACACTAACTTAGTGCCTTTCATTCAGTACGACACGGTGCGGCCTAGGGTTTTACTCCCCACGCATCACTGTGTGATGAAAAGCAAGAGGAACCAATCCCGTGCCTACGAAAACCTGTTACAATTATAAGGACCGGTGAACTAAGCCACGCCCCCCCCCCACTCACCGGCCTAGAGTCCAGGTCCCGATAGACTAGGTGTTGTATTGATCGAGGCGATTGAGGACCTATCTTCACCTCATGCCGGATACTCAATGAACAGTAAATCTGAGTGACAATGACGTCAACGCGTTGTGCTGTGTACGGTGCGACAACAAATGGACAATAAAACAGTCGATTTAAACGGAAAGCTAAGACATTCTCACTCTCTGCTTTCTGACGAAATAGCCTTCAATTCCCGCATATGAACTGATTGGAGGTTGCTTTATCCCACAAGGCTTCTGCGTTCATTCAAGTCGGAAGTATAGTTCCCTCAGTTCGCCAAATAGCAGTCGACAGCTCGACTTGCAAAAACGTGGTGTTTTCATTGTTCTCCATCGCTTGCCTAATGCCACATGAGATGTGTTGCTCATTTATTTGTATTTGTATAACTTTTGTAAGCATTTATGCTTACATTTCAGTTAAAAATATACACTGTTCGTCAGGCAGAATGAAATAATGATAATAATGAAATTTAACACGAAAGGTAAAGAATGTCGGTGATATTTGTTTCATGTACCCATATTTTGACGTAGTTCACTCGCAACCTGTTCCTTTTTGGAGTCGGGCCAGGTAATAAATGTTAACTCGAGAGGGTAGATGCCGAAATGAGGGGCATATGGACGGATGGGAACGACAAGACGATAGATCAGAGTGTAGTGGATGAGGAAGGTCATCTAGAATCCTATGGGCGACTTTAATACAAGAGTTGATGTGACCATCAACGAATTCTGTGATTAATGAATCGATCGGAATTAATGATGCTTGACTGATGATCTTCAAACCACGACGAATTGTTTTGAAGTCTTGTTTTAAAAGACCGGGAAACGCTACAAGAGAGCAACATAGTAGAATGGGTAAAACGCATTGATGAACGAAAGATGACAGGACTGAATGTGGGATTTGGGATTGCTTGCGTTTGCGTAATTGAAAGATAGGCATCTCAGTTTTCCCATACGGTTGTAATTATGTGTAGACCAATGAAGATTGCGTTGATGGTGACACCCAGGTACTTGACTGAGGTCATTCTGGATACAGGTTTACCGCTAAGGGTAGCAGAGTCCGCTTTTAATGAGGAGCGAGAAAGACTGAAAATGCACTCTACGCGCTTAGATAAGTCAAGACCGAGACCAGATTGATCAGAAAACTGTTGGATGTGGGATAGGTTTTCGGTAAAATAATGAAATTCCGAAGGAGAGGAAACTGACACAAAACAACGTCATCAGCATACTTTTGGATATGCGCAGGGGGTGGGACCGAA